AATCATAGAATCATATAATCATAGAATTGTTTAGGTTGGAAAAGACCTTTAAGATCAAGTCCAACCGTTACCCTAACCCTGCCATCCCACCACTAAACCCTCCCCCTAAGCACCTCATTTATCCTTCTTTTAAATACCTCCAGGGATGGGGACTCAACCCCTTCCCTGGGCAGCTTTCCAGCCAGGTTTGGGATGTCTGCCAACAGCACAGGGTGTCAGACCGGGAGGAACGTGCCCTGAGCAGAGAGGGACCTGAAGAGGAGCCAGACAGCACCCCGCTGCTGCCGGGATCCCGGCACGCGCCCCATGCCCTGAGTTCCACCCATCTCACTGCACAGGCATCCAGGCTGGGTTAAATTTGCGCAAGCTCATTAACGGCTGTGGAGCATTTACAAAAAAAAGCGAAGGACTGGGCTAATGTATGGGGGTGGTCCAGGGGAAGCTGAAGGCCCGCTTTGTGCCTGGGTGCAGGTAGTAGAGGCGGACATAGTGACCCGTATTTATTTTTGAGGGGCCAGAGGCAGCCGATCCGCCTGGCTGAGGACTGCGAGAGCCCGTGCCGGGGGCCAGTGGGAGGCTGCAGGGAGCCTGGGCCCTGCGTCCCACCGTCGTCTCAGGCCACGAAGTGAGCACCATGCTGCCCGCCAACGTGCTGAGGCGGCTGGGGGAGCTCCTGTTGGTGACCAACAGCTTAACCCGCCATCAGAGGAAGAGGATGCCACCTCTCTTCTCCGTTCCTCCTCCCCCCCAGTGCTTGACCACATGCGGATTAACCAAGGGGGGGCTATCAGAGGCTGAGCGCCCTGGATACAGGCAGGTTAACCGAGCCGGGGTCCTTGGAGCCATCCCAGGGGACTGGGGCGAGCTCAGCCAGTGGCTGCGAGCAAGCGGGGCTGAGCCTCCGAGAGCTGGCTGCAGGCGAGGGGGATGCCTCACTGCCAACGCCTCCCCCCAGCAGGGCAGGGGGAAGATAAATTGGAAAGGGGGGCTGGAAGCAAGATTGGAGCAATCGTCTGGAAAGGCAGCGCCCTCCCTCCTGTGGGTCTGTCCCAGAAATGCCGCTTTGGTGGGGCTGGGCTCTCGCACAGGGGCTCCGTGGGTGAGCTGGTGGAGGGCAGCCCGGGCCCCTTCCCACCCCAAAGGCGAGCATCCTAACCCCAGCCCTGG